TTCTCTGGTTGTTTGATTATTGAAAAAAATAGAAGATAATTTCATAGCTTCTGAAATTGTGAGATTGAGTTTTACTTGGTTGAGTTTGACTTGATGAAATTGTGAGATTGTGAGACTTTCAATAAAATATATATATATATATATATATATATATTTTTTCTATCTATTTGTCCACTTCAGGTGCAAAAGCATATATTTGTTGACTTTACTACTACATATGTTTCTACTCATTTGCATCCTTTGCCAAGTTAGGGTGATGTGGCATATCTAAGAATTTGAAAGAAAAATGGTAAGATTCATTAATATTATTATGTGTGTGGTTTTGATTAATTGCTTGAATTAGATGGTTTGATTCTTGATCTAAAGAAACTAACAAAATGCATAGGACAACAATGTGCAATAACTCATGTCTTTGTCATATTGATTCAATTCAGTTAAATTGACAGTATTGGATAATAGTAAAATCAACTTATACTGTCTTTTGGGTATAAATAGGACATTTTCATGATTTCATCGTAAAAGAATCACATTCAAGTTTTTTTTGGCCCTTCCCTTCAAAAAAAATTTTCCCTTTAAATATTTAGTTTATACTTGATACTTGAGCTCGTTTCCTCTTTAGTATGTATGGGATTACAAAATATTCTTTTGTTCATGTGATAACAAGTTATCTTTTATACACACAAATACATGTTAAGATCATTTTATTTTAGGTATTGATACTAGCAACAGTTGATGGCTATTGGATGACTTTAAATCTTTTTAATTTGACTATTTTTTAAAGAAAAAATTTCTATTCGAAAGTTGTCTATAGTTGATGTAATTTATGATTTTTTATAAAATTAAATTTCACCGTTTAAATAGTTTTTCATAAGCGGTATTGCTACATTGTTGGGATGTTTTTCATCGTTTAAGCAGTATAGCTACATTGTTGGGATGCTATCGCATAGAGTTGATTTCTTCTAGAAGATATGATGCATTTAGTTTTTTAATTTACAGAGGCTGCAAAATTCACTGTTTTGGGGTGACTATTTGTGTCTCTATTTTTTGTTGTAGAAAATTCAATATCGGGGTTCCCTCTGCGATGTAGAGAGGTGTCAATGCTTTCTTCAGATTAATTGAAAAATTATTCTGTGAGATTTGATTTTCGTATTTTAATATACTTTTCATTTGGCCTAATTCATGTTGTCTGTTTTATGTTATTTCAATAAAATATTTTTGGTTTGGGGTACTGTGACAGTCACCAATGTATCAGGTGTTAGCCACAAACCAATGGTAAGAGTGATGACTTAATCTTTTATTTTGAATCGGTTTATTACAATTGAGTTCTCCACGTGGTACCTAAAAAAATTGTCTTTTTTTTTAATTGAATTGATTTTTTACTTTGGACATGTAAGTTGTCTCTTTTTTCTTTTTTTTTTCTTCTCTTTTTTAGATACAATTTTTTCCCCTCTAATTGTCTTCTAATAAAATTCTCTTTTCTTTTATTTTCATAGGACGATGGAGATTTGCACCAAACTATATTATAGGCTATCTTTACTCATCTTCTTATTTCATTGGGAAAATTACAAATTAGTGTGAGTTTTTAAATATTTTGTGAAATTATCACCTATTTACAATTTTTCTAATTTAATTTACTCTTCTTACTATATATTTTCTTTTAGCTATTTATACTAACAACAGTTGATGGCTATTGGATTACTTTAAAATCTTTTCAATTTGGCTATTTTGTAAAACAATAATTTTTATTCTAAAGTTGTCTATAGTTGATGTAATTGATGATTTTCACCTTAATTTGACAAATTAGATGAATTGCAAGAATTTTTTTTTATAATATTAAATTTCACCACTTAAGCAGTTTTTCATACGCGGTTTTATGAAAAATGTATTGCTATATTGTTGGGATGCTATGTCATAGAGTTGATTTCTTCTTGATGATATGATGTATTTAGTTTTTCAATTTACAGTTCATTGCAAAATTCACTGTTTTAGGATGATGATTTGTGTGTTTTGATATATAGATTGTCTATTTTTTTGTTGCAAAAAATTCAATATTGGGGCTCCCTCCGCGATGTAGAGAGGTGTCAATGCTTTTTTCAGATTCATTGGAAAATTATTTTTTGATATTTGATTACCATATCTTAATATATGTAAACAATTTCTACTATTTGTCAGGTTATACTTTGCATTTGGCCTAATCTATGTTGTCTGTGTTATGTTATTTCAATAAGATATTTGTGGTTCGGGATATTACGACACTCACCAGTGTAGAAGATGTTAGCCACAAACTAATGGTAAGAGTGCTGACTTGATCTTTTATCAGGTGCTATCAACTTTATAAATTTTAACATGATACGTACAATTATATTTTGATCCAAATATTACAGGCATACATTAGTGTGTGTATATATATATATATATATAAATATATATGTATATCAATATGAACATGTGGCACAATTATGAGTACCACGCACAAGGCACTAGTCAGAATCTTAACTTCCTTTGATTAACGACTTATAAATTAACTTTATTGTTTTAAAATAAGTTTTTATTTGCAATGATCTAAATAAATATATTTTTTAACTTTTTAAAAAAAGATATGTAAAAAAATAGAGAAATAATATAATCTAAATAAATGCACTTACTTAGTTTATACCAAACAACGAAGTTGATTTTTTTTTATGAGAACAAGAGTAGCAAAATGACAATCGTTTTATTTTAACAACTTAAACTTACAAGTGAACACCAATAGGGGGTTGGTTTAACGGCAAGACATTTAAATTTCTCACTCAAAACTTGGGTTTGAATCTCCATAATCTTTTATTGGGGTTAAATGTATTTTTTAGCGCCTAGAGCACGCGAGAGTCTTAATTTGGACCCCGACGTGAGTGTAATGGGATTTCCTTCAGATGTGTTTTGGGTACTAAAGGACATAGCATAGCCTATTTGCATATTCAATTGTGAATCAAGTAAACTTACAAGTGAACATTGTACATGAAATAAAACTTACCATTATAAAAGTCCTAATTGGAAAAAAAAAACTTATGGATCAATCATATTCTTAACATAGTTTTCCAAGCAATCTTCTAATATAAGCAAACAATCTTCTAATATAAATAAAAATAAATTTTAATGGTCTACACAACATGCAATTTTATATTAGAGTAGATTGCTTATAAGCTTTTAAGTATCATGTTCATAAAAATTATATCCATCTAACATAAGCCAACTATATTATTTATCATATCAATAAATAAAAACATTATAAACTTATTAATATGTATAACATTAATCATATATAGACATATTTTGAAAAGTTAATTAAAAATTAAATTTTTAACACTTTTGATTCACATCTTAGCTTTATTTTGTTACACATTTTTAAATAAAAAAATAAAAAAAGGGTCAACATTTAACATGCGTTTCAAAATAAACCATAATATGTATCTGAGTCAACCTCCACAGTATAAGCATGTTCTCTCAATTTTACAGAATGGCAAATGTCTTTACTCAGATTCTTTAAGTCTCTCGCTTGGCCAAGCCAATGAATCAGTCAACAGAGAAAGAAATATGGGTGACACCATGATGATTACTTTGGAAGAAATGAGACCAACATGGACATTTCTTTTACATTTCCGTGAAATACATGCTTATAGGCAAGTAGACTTTTCTTAGTTTTTTTTTATTAAATTAAAATAAAATAAATTAAAAAATTAATAAAATAAAATATTACATTTAAATTATAATTATTTTATTTTTTCTTTTACAAAAGTAAAAAAAACTAAAAAAATCAAAATAAATAAATAAAAATACAAAATTTTGTTACTCGTAAATATAACTTATAGTAATGAACTTATGGATTGCGTTAAGATATAACATTTAGAAAGAATTTTGAAAACGGAAATAAAAAAATAAATAAAATATAATTACATTTCACACACTTTATTTTTTTATTTTTAATCTTCAAATTATAATTAAAATAATATTATAACTAACGTCACAATAAGTCATAACTAATAACATAATGTGCCTGTTTGGTAGAACTTAAAAGCAGCTTATTTCAACTTTCAGCTTAATTTAAACTATTTTGATGTGTTTGGTTTAGCTTATAGCTTATACCTTATAGCTTTTTGGAAGTCAGAAATCAGCTTATTCTTTGAGTGAATGTTCATAGTTATAAACTATAAGCTGTTTAGGCATAAGCTATAAGCACTTTCCCACAGCTCTACTAAACAGGCCAATATATCATAACTAAATAGCACAAAGATGGTAATTAGGGATACATATAGTTACTTTTATCATTCATGTCATAAAAGTACAAATATTACCGCCATATCTACTTGGAACATTGTAACTAATTGCAATAAAAGTACAAATATTACCACCAGATCTATTGTAACTACTTGCAGAAGAACTCACCCATCTCAAAATATAAAAATATAAAAACTATGAAGTATCCCAAAAAAGAAAAGATTTTTTGCAGAATAGCATTAATACAAAAACAAAAACACCAGAGAAGAGGATGAAAGTAATACTCTCCAGCTTTACAGGCCTTCTGTTCCTTCATCTGCATACCACTCTCATCCATAAGATGCTTTGTTTACTCAATTCAAACAATTATACATACATAATATAATCACCAAAATTTATTACAATGACAATCAGCTACATTGCCAAACTAATATATATAAATATATATATATATATTAGCTGTTCAGCCACACAAGAAAGAACACCACAAACCCCAGCTAGGAGCACCCAAGGTGGGCATGGTAAATTATAAGCAACGGAATATACACAAGCACAGAGTATACAATTCCAAGGTTTAAATGATTGTATTAATTGAATGGTCAAGTTTCTACATATTCTGCACAAAAAAAATAAAAACAACAAAAAAAATTGTCACATGGTCAACATGGTTATATACTGAACCGAGAGAAGAGAGGGGGACCACGCACAAGGCGGGGGGGGGGTTGGTTTAAGTATAATACAACAAAAAATACAAACAAGAGAGGGCAATTAACAACATCCTTTGTGTCAAATCCTATTACATCATAATATCACATCCAAACAGTAATTTCTAAAACAATCCACCACTTCTCAGACTTCAGTGTTTTCAAGCCATAATTCATCATCATCCATAACATTGGTCTGTTTTGAGTGATATTTAACTAAAACATAAAATGCAAAGAACAGCTAACAACTTAGATAAGAAGTTCTACTCCTACATCAATGTCTGCAAAAGAGGAAATGCCATCCAGTTTATCTGTATCTCTCTCTTGCATAGACAGTTTGTGTGCTCCTCATCAAGAAAGCAAAGGATCTCTGAACAGCTTCAATTCCTAAATTAGACATCCTTCAAGCTATGAATAAAAGAAACAAGTGTCAATCCACAAGCAGTAGTAAACCAATTTTAAGCACTATCAGCAAAAGCAGTCACAGATTTCAGCCTATCATACAGCCCATGGTAAATAAGGTGCTCCGTTTTGATCTTGAGGTGAGAAAAAAAAAAAAAATGATTGTGGTCTCTCATCTAGGTGAGAAAAGACTGATAAAAAAGTAGAACTCATGAATTGCATTGACATCATCTACTATCTCGATTGGTCTATTGGGTTATCGACCATAGATAATTTAGTTTTGGACTGTTGGCTAAATTAACTAATGGATTTAACTTTAATACCCTTAGACATGGTTTTATATACCTATGTGTCAGTTGAAACGAACTATGCAAACATTGTATTGCCCTGTTCGAATGTGGATTCCTTAATTGTTTAACCGTTGGGCCAGTTTGTTCAAATGCACATGGTTCTATCCTGAACAATGCTTTGTCCTAGTTTGTATGTTCAAGCACAGACATTGCTCATCGAATGCATAATGATGTTACAGGATTTGTATTGACAGTGCAGAATTTAGTGCTTGTTTGGGATCTTTTAAAAAAGCCAAAATGTCAAAAAGTTACTAAGGCCTCGTTTGAAAACAGGCTAGTTTAGTAACTTTTTGGCTATTTGGCTAAAATATAAGCTAAAAAAAACTAGTATGTTTGGGATAACTTTTTGACTTTTTACGAAAAGATGTGCAAAAAGTAGAAAGAAAAGAGAATCTTTGACTTTTTGGTATGGGTTGTTAGCTTTTTGGCTAATTTAGTAACTTTTTTGCTTTTTGACTAAAAAGGAGAGTTTCCAAACGAGGCCTAAAAGTAAAAAAGTTAACACTATTCACTAATCAATTGGGCGGAAAAAAGTCCACATACACAGAGGGCAAAAAGACTAAAAAGCCCTTGCTAACATGCACGAAAATTTAAAAAAAAAAAAAAAAAAAAAAACTCTCAACTGTGCAACCGTTCTAACATGCACGGAAAGCATGTCAGCAAAGGGGTAAGAAAGTAATTTTGGTATTTTATACAATATTTTACTACACATTTTTTCATAAAAAGTCAAAAAGTTATCCCAAACAACCATATTTTTTTCCTCTACTTTTTTAGACAAAAATTCAAAAGATGCACTTAAATAGTTCATCCCAAACAACTTTTTAGTCTTTGTTTCCCCTTATGTTTGTCATTAGTGGTTTCTATTGGAACGCACATACACATAGAGAGACATATACCGAAAAACTTATTGAGAGCTTCATATAATCCAAATATATACCTTCTTGATTTGCGCGTGATTAAGGAGTTGTTTAGGATATTTTAAATAAGTGCACTTTTTGAATTTTTAGACTAAAAAGTTGAGGAAAAAAATATGATTGTTTGGGTTAACTTTTTGACTTTTTATGAAAAAATGTGTATTAAAAAATTGTATAAATTAGTGGGTAGGGAAAAATTAAGATTGGGAGTTGTGCAGCCGTAATTTTTTACTTTTGGTGAATAATGATAACTTTTTAACTTTTTGAGTAACTTTTTGGCTTTTTGACTTTTTCGCCACATGCCAAACTTGGCCTAAGTTTGCAAAAGTCTAGGCAATTGTGCGCGTGTGCATGTTAGGATTGGTTCATGGGTAAGCTAAGCATTCATATTGTTGACTGAGATGTGCAAATGTACCTCACCCTAAATGATATTTTACCCTAGTTCACTGCAACGAATACGAATAATATTGACAGCAATTTCCTCCAAATGACAAATTCAGAAGGCTGAAAAGATGGCACTACTTCTCAAATCTCTACCACCCACAGTCCATATAACCAATGCATATCAATTGAAAAATGGTTATATATACATGTTTATATTAAGGCCAAGTTTGGGAAGACTAAGGCCAAGTTTGGGAACACCCCAAAAAGCCAAAAAGCCAAAAAGTTACTCAAAAAGTTAAAAAGTTATCACTATTCACCAAAAGTCAACAATTACGGCTGCACAACTCCCAATTCTAATTTTCTCCTACAAATCAATTTTTACAATTTTTTATTACACATTTTTCCATAAAAAGTTAAAAAGTTAACCCAAACATTCATATTTTCAACCTCAACTTTTTAGTCTAAAAAGACAAAAAGTGCACTTATTTAGTCTTCCCAAACTTGACCTAAATAAGTGCACTTTTTGACTTTTTGTGTGTTATGTGTAGAAAAAGTAGAGAGGAGATGTTGACTGATGTGACCCAAAAAAGATAAAAAGATGAAATAAGTGCACTTTTTTAGGTTAGCCAAACTTGGCCTAATTCAGTTGTTAGGTAAACGAGTAACTTTATTAACAGCCTTCAAGTTCCACAAGAATTATAGAGCCACAACGAAGGGCTAGAGCTCGCATTTACCTCCCACAGCCACCAACAAATACTGAAACCAAAAAAATGGGCCATAAAATTTTTTGTTTCCCTAGTGATATTGTCAATTCTGACTATTCTACAATAATGAGGATAGTTAAGAAACACACCAATAGTTAAAAAACAAGCATAAAATGTTGTGTCAAGTTACACTTAAAGAAACACATGCAACAATATCTCATTGCTTAAATTGACAACAAGTACAACGTGCTATGATAACATTTATTACCTCCCACAGCTACCAACAAATACTGAAACCTATGAAGCATGGACACCTCTCTGACGGCTACGTATCAGTGTCGGACGCGTATCGGACACGGACATGGACACGCAATGGACATGTGTTCGACACGTCGCAAAAGGTGCCCCCCCCTTTTTTTTTTTTTTTCTTTTTTTTTTTTGCAGCCGGACACGTTTCGAAATTAAAGCAATCAAACCAAGCCCTAACCTTGATTTCGAACAGAAAGAGAAGAGGTTCATTTGCTCTTGCGAAGGTATGTTCTTTTTCTTCTTCTGCTTTCCAATCTGTCTCTCAGTCGCTCTCTCTCTCTATCTGCTCTCTCTTTCTACTTTCAATATTCTTCTTCATTCGACTTCTCTCAGTCGCTCTCTCTCTCTCTCTCAGTCTCAGTCTCGCTGTCCCCATGTTTTGTTTCTTTCTTTTTCTTTTTTGTGCTGATTCACTCTCTTTCTCATTCACCCAAAAAAAAACACCTCTCTGCTTTTTTATTTTTTATGTTGTTATTTTTTTCTTCTTTTTTTTTTTTGGTGGCTTTTCTCAATCTCTAACTTTATCTCTGTTATTTATTTATTATTTATTTATATTCTTTTTTTTCAGCTAATTAGTTATTTATTTATTTATTTTCATTGCTTTCAATAATTTATTTTTTTTTTATAATTTTATGACATATCTTTTCATAAGGAATCCGAGCGACTTTCTTACGTGTCGGCTACCTAACACACAACCCTCCTCATTAACCCGGGCTTGGGACCGGCGGAGTTGTTAACAACCCCGGCGGAATTTTATGACATATAATAAATAAATTTAATTATATATTCAACGTGTCCCAGCATGTCGAGTCCCCCATTTTTTTAAAATTTGCATGTCCGCGTGTCCGTGTCATGTCCGTGTCCGTGCTTCATTGACTGAAACCAAAAGAAGAGGCCTAACAATCATTGTTCCCCTAGTGACATTGTCACTTCCAATTCTATTGTACAAGTAATGAAAATAGCAAAGAAATACAAAAATGTTGGGTCAAGCTTCATTCTGAGCACCACATGCAGCAATATCTTGTTGCTTAACTTGACAAGTAGTAGTACTAAGTGCTATGATAACATATTTCTTTCATTTCTTACACACCGAAATCAAATCATCACTTAAAACTTCTCTAATTGAATGGCACAAACACAACCCTTATTCTCAGTTGGCCATTAACCCTTGGTCTCTCTCTTTTAGTGGACAAGCGAAGCTTAAAACTAATATGCATTTAAACCAAAACCTCAATTACACAATAGAAACTATAAACAAAATAATAAAAAAATTCCCGAGTGCAACATACATCAGCAGGCAGTAAAAAATTTTCTTTTATTTTGGGAAGGGGGATGGGGAGGGACAGCAACTTCTTTGGTTTTTGATAAATGGGGTAAGAATCAACTGCTAGACGATGAGAAGAGTTAAATAGATGTCATGACCACAACAATAATACATTAGAAGAATACAGCATCAGTATTTCACAGAATCTAGAGCAACAAAGCATGAATAACTCAATCCACCATATGCACAACAATGACACTTCAGACAGATCACTAGAGCTTTTTTCTACAACTAAAAAACAATGGTTAAGACAAAAATTCAACGGTGCAATAACTTACAGTTTTTCATGCGCCAAGGAAACTGTCTCCCAAGGAAGAAACGAATTGATTCCACGCATTAGAGACATGAAAGGTATCATAGAGAATAGCTGTTCAATAAATCCACATGTCTAAGAACACAAACTTCAAGAAGAGTCCATATGAAGATGACAAACCCACAGGTGGACAGAATCCTCAAATAGAAGCAACTTCACATTCAGTTATTCCGAGGTTAGACGCCGCCTCTTTCCATATTCAGCATCCCTTGATCTTGAGCGCGGTGGCTCTTCCTCTTGAGACAATCGTGACTTGCTGTGCATCCTCGACGACCGTCCCCTTTCCCATTCCTCTTCATATTCTGGTTCCCGGTCCCTATACCTATGATGATCCGCATATCTGTCTCTGTCATCCTTATGTCGATCCCGTTCCCGATCACGATCCCTATCACGATCTCGATCTCGATCTCGAGAACGTTCACGGTCACGCTCCCGCTCTCTATCTTGACCAACATCTCTATCATCACGATGCCTCCTTTCAGGATCATGACCAATATCCTTTTCCCTAGGCATGTCCCTATCATAACCAGGATCTCTATCATCTCGATACCTCCTATCAGATGACCCAGACCAGTCCCTTTCTGATCCTCTATCTTTTTCTTTCATGGAATTTTGCCAACCCCCTCTATCATGGGTTACTTCTCCATACTGATGGTCAGACATAGCTTCTTCGCCATAACTAGACTCCCCTGCCCTGCCAACATGCTCCTCACCAGCCCATCCAGCCATATTAGGATCAGACCACATTCCCATATTATGTCCCTCAACACCAGTAGTGGGCATCATGCCCATTCCATTCATGGGCAAGCCTCTTCCAAAGAACGCTGGATTCACATGAGGAGCTACACCAGGCAAACCAACACTTCCCACCGGTGGGAATGAAGACAAAATCCCCGAAAATGGGGGAGTTGGAGCACCAGGAAACCCTCCATAACTTCCCATCCTCCCCATAGGTGCTCCAAAAGCTGGATCAAAACCCTGACCCATCATAGTTTGAGGGTGCAACAAAGGAGGTGTCGCACCGATACCCTGCCCAAAACCATTTCCACCATTCCCCATGATACCACGTCCCCCCATCCCACCAGGTCTATTTCTCATTGGACCAGTAGGCCCCCGATTTCCCATCCCCTGACCATTGCCTCTCCCCCAATTTCCTCTCCCATAACCTCTATTGTTATCACCGCCGCCTTGGTAATTCCCGTATCCTCTATTGTTATCACCACCACCTTGATAATTCCCAAAACCTCTATTGTTATCATTGCCACCTTGATAATTCCCAAAGCCTCTGTTGTTATCACCACCAACTTGATTATTCCCACCTGTTGTATTGTTGTTGCCCCCAATTTTACCTGCAGCATCACCACTACCCCTCCTTGCTTGAGCAAGAGCAGCCTGAGCCATCTGTTGGTTCCTATTAAACTGAGTCTCTCCCATTCGTTTGATACTATATGGTGAAGCAGATGCCACAACACATGACCGCCCATTAAACATGTGCCCATCCATTCCCTCCTTGCAAGCTGTCGCTGCAGCAGGATCACAAAACTCAACCTGACAATACCCTTTCGATTTCCCACTCGCCTTCTCATCAAAAAATTTCACCTCCTTCACAGGCCCATACTTACAAAGCTCAGCCTCAAGCTCAGCATCTGTAGTCCACCAATGCAAATCACCAACAAATAGAATTGTCCCTCCACCCCCAGACCCAGTACCTCCACTCCTCGTCCCCGCCACAACCCCAGTACCAGTACCACCAGAACCATTTACATGTCCTCCACCTTGCCTAGGAAACCCTTCATTCCCTGCATTTCCTACAATCCCAACACCAGCTGCTCGAGGTTGCTGACCAATCACTCGATTCGGCAAGCTATTATTATTATTCACAGTCTGATCTTCTAAATCACCTACTTTACCTGACGACTGCCCTAATTCAACCCTAGGTAATGGTGCTCCGCCCGATTCCCCCACACCCATCTCATTATCTCTAAAACCCACATCCTGAAACCCCTCAATTCTACCAGAAAACCTAGAACCACCATCACCATCCTTCTCAAATTTCCTCTCCACAACACCAGGTATCGATGCACTCGACTCCGCCACCGTCTGCGGAGGCAGAATCGGCTCCACCTTCTTCTCCACCTCCTCATTTCTAGACTCTAAATCCTCATTCTTACGAAACGATTGAAGAAAACCCTCACCAACATTGACATCGTTGTAAAGATCTTCGTAGTCATCGTCTTCTTCGCCTAGAAAACCCTCGTCGGCAACGGCGGAGATCGCTTCGTTCCGATGATCTCCTACGTCGCCGAACCCACCACCACCTTCATTTTCATCCATAGTTATTGATGATTCCTAGAACTAGGGCATTCGATTTCGAACTGGTTTCAGAAAACAATCAAAAACACTTTCATGAAAACAACGAAAGCAAAAACATAAATTCGAGATCAGAGTAAGAGATCTTACTGGGAGCTTCGGACTCTGTGAGAGAGAGAGAGAGACATAGAGGGACAGAGCGCAAACCCTAATCTGGAAAATTTGTGAGCTTTGGAGAAAGGGCTTTTTTGGTTCTCTCTCGTTCTCTCGTTCTCTGATAACATAACATGTTACGCACCTCTTTTGATTACACGTGGCACACATAAAATCAAATTATTTAATGTTGTGTTTGGTTGGAAAATTTAATGAGGAATTTAGAAGGAGAAATGAAAAACGTATGTGAAATGTGAATAAAATATACTTAAATTTTATCTAATTTTATACATATTTTCTTTTTTTCTTTCTGAATCTCTCTCTAAATCTTCCAACCAAACACAGCGTAAGTGTATTTTTTGGTTAGTTAAATTATGAGACATAAATATTGTGGGTATTTGGAAAATTTCTATTTCAATCGGTTATTTTAATTTTTTGTTATTTTAGTGGGTTAAATTTTTTGTGTTTAATAAGATAGCTAGATTTCTTTTATAGTTAGATGTAATATTTATGAGAGAAAAAGTGAAATGGTTATAAGTTTGATGTGACATTTTGTCTTATTAACTATTTTAATCTATTTTGTCTTTTTGTAGATTTTAACCCAAAAAGTCAAAAAAATAAAAAACTCTTGCCAAACAACCTCAGTGTGTTTGATTTGAGTTTTTTTAATTAAGTTTTTTTAAAATTAAATTTTCTATTTTTCGTATTTTTTATTTCTCATGAATAATTTTAAAATTTTAAGTATTTTTTTTTAGATGCATCTTACTTAGATGTGTGTCTAAAAAGTAAAATATTTATGAAAAATATTTTTAAAAAATTAATAAATACACAAAAATACAAAAAAAAAAATACGAAAATTCAATATTTTTGATATTTAGTGAATTTTTTAAAGATTTTTTTTACAAAAATTATATTTTTTAAGTGTATTTATATTAGGTGTGTCTAAAAATTAAAAAAATTGTTTTGAAAACTCAAAATGGAAACACATTTTTGGTGTTTTCGTTTTTTTGCCAAATTTATAAACTGAGACCACTGATTTATAAATCAAAAATTTTACCAAACAAGTTTTTATTTGAGTTTTTTAAATTTTTGTAAATATAAACAGAAAACTGAAAACGTAAGTGTTACCAAACAGCACCTTAATGTTGTGTTTGGTTGAAAAATTTAATGAGGAATTTAGAATGAGAAATGAAAAACGTATGTGAAATGTGAATAAAATATACTTAAATTTTATCTAATTTTATACATATTTTCCTTTTTTCTTTCCGAATCTCTCTCTAAATCTTCCAACCAAACACAGCGTAAGTGTATTTTTCGGTTAGTTAAATTATGAGACATAAATATTGTGGGTATTTGGAAAATTTCTATTTCAATCGTTTATTTTAATTTTTTGTTATTTTAGTGGGTTAAATTTTTTGTGTTTAATAAGATAGTTAGATTTCTTTTATAGTTAGATGTAATATTTATGAGAGAAAAAGTGAAATGGTTATAAGTTTAATGTGACATTTTGTCTTATTAACTATTTTAATCTATTTTGTCTTTTTGTAGATTTTAACCCAAAAAGTCAAAAAAATAAAAAAACTCTTGCCAAACAACCTCAGTGTGTTTGATTTGAGTTTTTTTAATTAAGTTTTTTTAAAATTAAATTTTCTATTTTTCGTATTTTTTATTTCTCATGAATAATTTTAAAATTTTAAGTATTTTTTTTTAGATGCATCTTACTTAGATGTGTGTCTAAAAAGTAAAATATTTATGAAAAATATTTTTAAAAAATTAATAAATACACAAAAATACAAAAAAAAAAATACGAAAATTCAATATTTTTGATATTTAGTGAATTTTTTAAAGATTTTTTTTACAAAAATTATATTTTTTAAGTGTATTTATATTAGGTGTGTCTAAAAATTAAAAAAATTGTTTAAAATATTAAAACAATTCAGTAAAAATAAAAAAAAACAAAAAATATGAAAGTAAAATTTTTTAAAAAGTATTTTTAGAAAACTCAAACCAAGTAAAGTGATTAAATTTCAAAAAATAAAAAAGTAAATTAAACTCTTTTTTTTTGTGTGTGTATTTAATCATTTTTCTACTTTCATATTTTAAATTTATTTTTTTCTACTTTAACCATTTATGTTCAAGTTTTTTTTAAGGATAAATTACACTTACACCCCCTGAAATTTGGGTTTAATACATATCACCTCCTGATATTTGGAAAATTACACTAACCCCTTTGTCATTATAATTATTTAGACGGAATGAAGATATTAAACTCATGTACTATCTCTTTTTTTCTTTGCTTTATTTTCTCTTTTTTTTTTCTCATTTCCTTTACTTTTTTTTTTAATGTAATTTTTTCTATTTTTCTACTAGGAGTTGTTATCTTTTATATAAGCAGGGGAATTTGTGAAATGAGACTATTAACCACAGGGGTGAGAATGTAATTTCCAAAACATCAGGGGTGGGTAGTGATTGGACCAAACCTGTAACAATCCGAAAATTTAAGTTGTCCCTTAAATTTTATACTAGTATTATAGTTGTATGTGATGATATATTATTAAAAAAAAATTAATAATAATGGGTGTAGTAGTAAAATAAATAATTAATTTTCTATTGGTATACGATAGAGTGTAATTTAGTTAGGGATTAATTTATTTATGCAGTTATATTAGAAAACTAGGCCAAAGTATAATTATCTTAAATATTTATTAAAGTTAAGTATCAATCCATATAACTTATGAACGAGTCTGTGGGAGGATACGCGGGCCATGTATGCTCTTACTTCCTTATAAACAAGGAGGAGGTGATATGTGGAAAAGAAAGAAAGAGAGAAAAGAAGGAAAAAAAGAGAGGGAGAAAGGGAAAGGAATGAGGGAAAAAGAAGCGAAGAAAAGGGAAATTAAATAATGAAAGTCGGAAGAGTCTTTGGTAGTGAAAAGAAAGAGTAAGGTACTACTTTTAAGGTGAGTTATATTATATCTTGAGTTATCATAATATATTTTACATATGTTTTGATTTATCATAATCTATTTTATATAAGTTGTATTTTATTAATTATATTAATACAAGTTATCTTTTATAAATATTTCAATTACGTGAATTAATTTCTAAACTCTATTTGTTAAAATGAAACCCATGGATATGTTTGTTTATATTTTAAAGAATATTTGACAATGACCTTATATACAATTATATTTTGTAAGTACCACCACGGAAGTCCCACGCCTTGGGGGACTTAAATAACTATTGGCCTCTGTTTGGTCATTTTGTGGCCCTCTGTTGTCATGGATCTATTGACCTCTGTTCTGTTCGGAGCAAAGTGCTGTGCAGAGATAAGTGCTACACTATTGTGGGAGCCACCTCTATAATCCGTACGAGTCACTTCTTGAATCCGTATCTCTGTTTTGACTGTCACTCTTGTGACCTCTGTTCTGTTTTGTTCGGTACCATGGTTATGATTATTTGTTTATATAATTTCAGTTTTGCTACTTGAATGATTATTTGTTCAGATTAAGTAATCTTAAATATTTTAGTTACATAACTATTCATGGTTATTTTGTATCCCTTATACTCTTGGTATAATATTTCTTACTCTGTCATGTGCTTATAGCTGTTTACCAATTTTCAGGAAACAATATAATTCAGAAATAATTTTTGGAAAGTCTTAGACGCGGGCTGCAGAATAGACACACACAGCACTTTTATGATATTTTTATATGTAAATATCGGCCTTTTGGTCAATAAATTTTGTAATAAAAATAGAAACTTCAATGATTATTTTAGTACCCTCACTTAAATATTATTTCCGCTTACGTTTATTAATTTGTTCAAGAATTGACCGGAGGTAACTTTAGGTAACTTCAAGCATAGCTGTTAAACATTGTGATGGCCAGTAACTGAAGTTACCTCCGGCCAATTCTTGAACAAATTAATAAACGCGAGCAGAAATAATATTTAAGTGAGGGTACCAAAATAATCATTGGAACTTCTATTTTTATTACAAAATTTTTTGACCAAAAGGCCGATATTTACATATAAAAATATCATAAAAGTGTTGTGTGTGTCTATTCCGCAACCCCGCGTCTAAGACTTTCCAAAAGCTATTTTTGAATTATATTATTTCCTGAAAATTGGTAAACAGCTATAAGCACATGGCAGAGTGTAGACGTCCCCGAACGCCCCGGGAGGACGGCTCTCCCGTTCCGTTCGTATTGGGCTCACTACAATTCAGGACTCTCAAATTGTCACGGTTCTAAATCTGAATCAAAGAGTCCAAATCCGGCAAATCGTTTTGAAAAAACAGATTTTGAAAGAAGTGCCAAACATGGACTGCTTTGCCAGATACAGAGTCGTTATCTAAATATTTTATTTTTGGGAAATTTAGGAAACCCTGACTCGTTTGCCTAAGGCCACGTATCCGTCATCACCAAAGTTGCCTCGGCTCGGGAACTTGGGTACGATTGGGGAAGGTCACTTCGTGAGCACCCCCGCTCGTCCGATCAAAGATCGGCCTCTACTAACCGTGATATCTATTTTTGAAAACATTATGCGTTCTTATTCCGGTTATTAGCCTAGATTTACTATGTAATGCGCACAGCATACAAATATAGACTGGGTCGCCTGAATTGGAACAAAACATTTCATGCTTGTTTATTTGAAAATGGTTTGATGGTGCTACTCGCAAGTAGGCTAAGACGTGGATTTGCCACCCTCGGGTGGGCTTAGAAAAACATGATTTTGCCACTATCTAGTGGGCTTAAAAAAAAACTCACAGTCAACGAATTGTTCCAATCCAAATAACCCAACCATCACCCACAGGCATTCAGGCAGATATATCACATAAGCAATTAGCCTTATGGTAAGCATGCTATTATGGCAGTCACTCACACGCATGCAAGGATGCTAAAGCATAAAACTTACCGAGTACTCCAAGCCAAAACAGAAGCTAATTAGAAATCCATGCATGATCCTAATTAAAATGCAACTAAGATAGGCTCGTCTATTCTAAACATGGCATATGGAATGCTACAGCTAACATGTATTTAACTTGGAATTGAAAATACAATGCAGTTAGTATGATGCGCCAAGCCCGGTGCATGCAAAATAGATGAATGAATG